TTGTAGCTCTTTTTGATTGGACCGATGATGTGAATATTTATATATACAATATATAACATCTTTTTTTAAGATTGATGCTTAGTTCCTTTTCAGAAGACAAGTGGAATTTTGAATTTTTCATCTCCCAAAGAATGCATGTTTTCTAACTCCATGCAGAGATAACCATCTAGGCTAGCACAGTAGCTAGAGGAAAAATACAGTCTAAAAATACATATTATAATCTTGAAGTTTATTGTTTAGGAACTGTCTACCAGTCTACCAGAAAAAAACACTTTTCAATATTTACCTTCCTCTGTTCACCTTTTTAATGTGTGTTTGAGAGGGGGGGGTGTGAAATTAAACAATTTAAAAAAATAGAAAATAATGGAATACCTCTAAGCTCTGATCTACACTACAATCTTATGTCAATATAACCATGAGCAATGTACCTATACCAGTGGTTCTCAAACATTTTGGCCTGTGGTCCACCTGGCACAATGCAAACCTTTCCATGGACCAATAGTAGCTAATGGAAGCTCAGAGTTAATTACATAATTACTCCTGAGCCATTTTGCTAGTGCTGCAGCTAGGGAGAATGGTTTAATTTAAATTATTAAACAGATTAAGCATTTTAACTTTCTCATGTTAGTTTATCAAACTTCACTTTAAATAAACTAAAATACTAATTTATGTCCAACACAAATATGGCAGGGGGGGGAATCTTTTTTGGGTCGGAAGCCACTGACCCACAGAAAAACCAGTTAGGGACCATACAAGTGAGAAGCAAAAAAACTCCTCCAAAAAACCCCAACACTTTCTGATGTTTCCGTCAACTGCGATACCTCACTCCTCTGGCCTTCCAGCCCCCTGGGGTGAAGGCAAAAGACAGGAAGGACTGAAGTTCACGGCTTTACCATAGACCAGATTTACTCTTCTGGGGTTCCTGAGTTAGTGAATTTTGTGGACCTCCCCTTAGGCGCTGGGGTGGGGACAAAAATGAGGGGTTCAGTGTGCTTGACAGGGCTGCCAGCGAGTGGGAGAAGAATGGGGTGCAAGAGGTGGGGTGCAGGAGCGGGTGAGGGTGAAGAAGCAGGCTGGGAGTAGGGTGTTTGGCCAGAGGGTACCCAGGAGGGAGAGTGCAGGAGCAACGGAGGGTGTATTACCAAACTGGGTGTGCAAGGTGTGGGGGTCTGGGCATGGGGGGGGGGAGCTTACTTCCAGACAGTGTGTCACTGCACTGCTGTTCCTCCAGCAGGGTTTGGAGCCACTTGCTCTGTGAGCTGCGTCTTGCGGGGAAGGTCAGGGCTTTCTTCATACCCACCTGCCGTGCTCTGAGTGGGAAGCCAGAGCCGGTGCCCCAGCCTTGTAGCTGCATGGCAGCTGTGAGTCTGGAGTGACTACATGGGCTTCCCACTGCACAGTGGAGGAGAAGTGGGGAGCCGAGCTTGATCCGTGAACCACTTGTAAGGTGGCCACAGACCACTAGTGGTCCACAGACCGCACTTTGAGAACCACTGAACTATACAGACTAGACTGCTGGTCTAGATAGTGCTTCTCCCATATTGGTGCAGCTCTTGTGCCCCACTAGTGCAGCTGAACCACTGTATGCATAGATAAACCATAACTCACAAGAGTTTAATATTGACTCTGGTGTCCAGTAGCATGCAAGCCTGTTCATACCTGTTATAACTTGACTTTGTGCATATTGACTAGCCATGGAACTAGTTGACTTTGTTACCGGTTCATGTTCTCTGGAGGAGGTAGCAAATGCCTTCCAAAAAACCCTGCTTAAAGTAGAAACCTGACTTTCAATCATATCTAATAGTTCATCCTAATTGTTTAAAACCAATCTTGTTGTATTTTGGATGGTCTGTAAAGATTCTTCCCTCTGGAATTACAAAGTTGCTGATAAAACTGCATAGGGGAATGGAGAGGCTGCTGAGCAGGTGAATTAAGAGGAAAGAAACACCAGTATACAGTTAAATCTCCCAAATCTGGGATTCTCTGGTCCGACAACATCTGTGGTCCAGCAGAGCCACGGATGTTGCTGAACCAAAGAGCCCCAGAGCCAGGTTAGACAACACAGGGGCTGGGGAACTCTGGCTGAGCCAGGCATCTAGCTCTCGCCCTGGCGGGGAATGCCTGGCAACAATGGGGCCAGGTGGTGGCTATGAAGTCCCGGTGTCAGCGGGGCCAGGAATTGGCCGGGGGACCCCCAGTGTCAGCAGGGCCAAGTGGCGGGGGAGTCCTGACCCCAGCTAGGAACACCCAGCTGTAGCGGGGCTGTTGGCGACTGGGCAGCCCTGGCCAGGAACTCCAGGAAATCCCCGGTGGCAGTGGGGCTAGTGTGACTAGACAGCCTCTGCCAGGAACCCCTGGCTGAAGCCGGGCTGGCGAGGTGGATATCCCGGCCATGGAATCCCCAGTGACAGTGGGGTGGCCCTAGCAGCAGGGCAGGGTGACTGGACAGCCCCAGCTGGGAACTCTGGGGAACACCCTGTGGCAGCGAGTCCGGTAGCAGCCAAGCAGTCACCGTGGGTAACCTCAGGAGACCCTGGGGCAGCAGGATAGGGAGCCATGTCGAGCCAGCATTGGGGCTTCCTGCCCTATCGCTGGCTTGCTAAAGACAGGAACCCTGGGGCAGCTAGCAGGGGAGCACTGACCTCCCCTGGTCTGGCAAATTCCCTGGTCCAGGACAGCTCAGGTCCCAAGGGTGCCAGACCAGGAAGGTCCAACCTATAATTAGAAAGGAAGCACCTGAGCCTTTGGGAGAAGCCAGATCGTTTCATAGTTGTTTTGCTTTTTCTTTCTTTGGATAGGTCTTATTACTTCTTATAGTTACTGACTATGTGGAGGCATCTAGACAATCAAAAATGAGTCTAGTGCCTGCCAGTCCTAAGAACAATGAAAGGACTGACAGACAAGTAGAGATTAGGAGGAGAGGGGAAATGTAACATTTTGCTTACAAGTGGCAACAAAGTTCACTGCACAAAGCATGACTGAAGTGGATCTTTAGGTGGGATTTAATGTGGAGGGGGTGAAGGTCTTGCAAAGGAGGGTCAAAATAATGTAAAGTGAGACCTGCTCAGTTAGGTAGGGAAGGACAGAGTTATGCAGAGCTTTGGAGATGGTGATGACAAATTAACTTGATGCAATAGCAAATGAGGAGGCAAGGAAGAGGGGGGACATGACATGATCAGAATCACAGGTAAGGAAAATGTCCAGTCAGTATTTTGTCTGGATTGAAAGGGTTCATTTAGGGAAGCCAAAGAAGAGGAGGTTGTATTAGTTCAGGCAAGATATAATGAGGGCCTGAACAAGAGATGTAGCTGTAGGGGTAGGAATAAATGGACAGATCTTAGAGATGTTGAGGAGGAACAAGTGATGAGATTTCAGATATGAGCTGAATGTGTCAGGCAGAGGAGAGGGAATCAAAAAGAGTATGTAAATGACATGTCTGCATGATGAGAACAATGATGGTGGTATTGAAAGAGAGAAGTTTGAAACTCTCAGAAAATAGATTGGATGTGACTAATACAGAAAATTTTACAGGGAGTTCTATAAAGATCACTGCAATTATTTGAACTTCCCTTAGTATCAGCCAATTGAAAGGTTTTATTCCTTTATGTTTTCTGTAGTCTCTGTAAGGCAGTAAGTAACCTAAGAAATTTCAGATAGTATTGTGAGTGACCATGGCAACATGTTTAATGGTTAAATTATGGTCTAATTAAACATGAGCTAGGGATGTAAAATGTCAGTTAAAAAAATAACTAACCACTGAAAATCTTAGCAGTTAGCTCCTGGGGAGGCAGCTTCTCTGCAGAAGGAAAGCCTTATCCTCAGCAGAGCTGGCAGCCTCTGCCGACCCGCTCCCAGGCAGGCGGTTTCCCTGCCACAGAGAAGCTGCCAGCTCTGCTGAGGACACGAGTAGCCCCTGCCTGTGGTGGACCCTGTGGGGCTGGAGCAGCCCCCGGCTTGGGGTGGGCAGGAAGCTGCTGCAGCTCTGTGGTTAACTGGAACCGGTAAGCATTACTCTTTTAGGGTGATGCTTTCCAGTTAACCTTTCACATCCCTAATATGAATTAATGTTTGTGAAGAGTGGTGTGCTCATTTAGCTAGAGCTGGGCTAGGCAACGTTTCCAAACTGGTGTGCCAAGATTTAACCCTTCTCCCCTGAGTCATACCACGCTCCCAGGAGGGGGGCAAGGACTCTCTCCACCGCACACCCCAACTGGTCTCCTGCCCTGGGCTCCACTCCAGCTTTTCCTGTGAGGAGGGGGGGAGCAGCACACGCACGCTTCCTGGGAAGCCCGTTGCAGCACAGAGCCTTGGGGCTCTGCCCCCCCCAGGAATCCAGCATTGTCTCCAATTTTGCAGGGGCGCGATGCTGGATCACCAGCACAGGCTGGGGTCAGGGTGGTTCGCAGGGGGCAGGTTTGAGGAAATGGGCAAGTGTGGATAGGTAGCTGGGTGACCCCAGGGTGTCCAGCCCTGCTTGGGGTAGGGTCCCATTGGGGTCCAGTTCATGACACCCTCACCTTCCTGCCAGAAACCAGGTGCCCAGGGGCTAACACAGTGTTGAGGTAGGGGAATACCCTACACATTTTCCTCTCCCTCAGCCGCCAAGCCCTGGAGCTGCAACCTAGGCAGCACTCCTCTCTAGCAGGGGCTTGGCAGCAGTGGTGCTGGCAACTGGGTGTGATTTCAGTGCTGTCTTTAGCCTGCCTGCCGGGCAAAGGGAGGTGAGCGGAGCAGGGAACGCCGAGGTTGCAAGGCTGGGGCTGTACAACAGGGCGGAGAGTGGCAGGTTAGAGAAGGTGGAGACGGGACTTCTAGATGAAGGTGTCAGAGGGGTCACCTATCATGTAGCCCTGCCTGCCGGACCGCATGCCACTCAAAATCCTAGTTCTTAGCCCTGTCACTGACTTGTGAGACTCTGGGAATCTAGAGGAGGAGTTTTAATGAATGTTTGCCTCACAGGGGTATGAAGGCTCCATAAACACTTGTAATACACCCTTTGATCTGTACAATATACATATATTTAACCTTTTCTTTCTTTCTTTTTTCCTAGATACAATTACCTCAACTGGAGAAAAAGGTAGGAAACATGTAATACTCATCCTCAATAAACAAATTAAATGTTTTATAAATAGGAAAGTTGCTTATTTTTTGTCTCCTTAATACTGTGTGTTTGTGTTTCTGATGTATAGTTTACACTTATTTACCAATGCAAGTTTGTATGGTTTTATGTATAGGGAGGTGGGATCTATCAAGCTTTTAGTGCCACAAGTTTGGGATAATGGTATTATCTGTGAGCTGTGGAACCATAACTTAGTTTTGCAGTTCTTTCAAAACAGGTGATTGTGGGGGGAAATCAGACCCATGTTATGTTATTTTATATCACTTAATGTGTGCTATATGCGTCTTTCTTATCTCTCTGATTCTCCCACTTGTTTTTCAAGTGTATTAATTGTTATGGAAACCACGTTATTGATATCTGCTATGGTTATGTCCATTTGCAAAATAAAATCAGTCATGTGGTTATTGAAATTCTGAAGTTAACATAGCGATGGTTCTGACCATATTTCTTGTATATATGTATTGTATTACAGTGAAATAGCTAGGAAAAACTATGTGGATAGAACAGTATTAATGTTGCAAAGTCAGTCACTCAAAAGTTAGAAAATGCAGCCTTAATTGAGCCTCATTATGTGTATATATTACAATACAGTCTTTATATGGTTTCATAGTATTTTTTCTATGGAACCCCTGCTTCATTCACTTCACAGGACGGACCTGCTTTGGGGCTCAATCAGGATTACGGATGTAGTCGAGTATACGATTAACCAATAAATCTAGGTTTATCAGCTAATCTTGTCGACAACACGCATTTCTCCCTGCCCCTTGCTTTAAGCTGGTTCCCCCAGCACCAACTCTGTGGTGCCACCTGCCCCACCCCCATCCTGCTGCCTCTATCAAAGGCAGATGCAGGGGGAGTGGGGTATGGGAGGCTGCTGCAAAGTAGCCTCTGTTCGTGGCAAGCTTGCGCCTACCACAGGCAGAGTCTGCTTCATGGCAGCACCCCTGTCCTTGAGGGGTCCAAGCGTCCCGTGGACAGAGGCTGCTTTGCATTCCATTGAGCAGCCTCTGTCAGTTGGGAGCTCGGACCTGCATGGACCAGGGACTACTGCCACCCCGCTTTGCTGCAGGCAGCTGGTCTGTGAAGGGAGCTGTTTTTTAAACTGGCCCCTCTTACAGACCGGCTCCCCCTCCTACCCTATGCTACTGCCTCTATATCAGATATAGAGGCAGCAGTGTGAGGTGGTAGAGGGCTTCCCGGGAGCACACTGGCTGCTGGCCCCACCCCTGGGGACTATCAGATAGTTGTGTAACCGCTAAGATTTCATGCTGTTACGTGACTATTCGATTACTCGATATCTAACATCCCTAATCAAGATTTGTGTAGGGACGCAAATTCATTTGTAAGACTCCTGCCTCATTTGTTACCAAAATTAAAAAGTGGGTAGTGAGTGAGGTAGGGGAATACGATCTCATGGTTAAAGCAACTGAATGCTGCTTTGGTTAATTCAATTTTATCTATGCTTCTGCCACAGAGTTCCTGTGAGATGTTGGGCAAGACACTTCAACCAAATTTGTCATGGGTGGTCACTAACTGTGTGGTTCTCGTTTTTTCTAGTTTAACTTGAGACGCTGCAGTCTTGTATGCAGAGGTGCTGAGCACTCACAATGGCCACTTAAGTCAATAGGACCTATGCTTTGAACTTCTAAAATGCTGTATAATGCCAAGCATTCTGAAAAATCAGGTCCTAGGCATCTCATTTGGGCATAAAAAAGTAGTGAAAAGTTTTTACCTCTAATCATTCTGTGCTTTCAGTCACTATCTGTAATCTAGTGCTAATACCTCTCAATTCTCGGCTGCATTATGAAAATACCTTTGTGAAGCTCTCGATATTGTAATGATTAGCATCATAGAAAATCCTAGGATGAAATTATAATTCTGCAAAAGGAAATATAGGTATTTAAGACGTGATCCCCACATTACTGAGCAGCTGCTCACTTTCCTATAGTTGAACACATTTTACAAGTTATTTTAAAAAAATGCCAGTATATGAGAACCCTTGCTTGTTTGGTTTTTTTTTATCTTCCTACTTTTTTAAGAAACATTCACATTTAGGTCTTGATATGAAATAGGAAATATCCTTTATTTGAACATTATAGCTCTTATGGTAAGGTTGTGTATTTATTCTTTGTTGAATCAGTAGAAAAATGAGCACTCTAGCAGCCAAAGGGATATCAATAGATTCCTGTGACTTTTAAAGCAGAAGAACATATCCTTGCAGAAAAATTTTTACTTCATATTTCAAGTTTATTATATTTAAATCTTGTTAAAGCAGTGCCTTAATTAGAATTTACCATGAGGTTTTGACACCACTTGGGCTAATTAATCCCTTGTCTTTACAGCTTGGAGTTCTTGTGTAGATGTGTGACCTTTAGGATGGTCCTAGCCCTAACTTTCTCTCTTAAAAGCTTAAAAAACAACAAATAGTCTAGTAGCACCTTAAAGACTAACTAAACATGTATATGGTATCATGAGCTTTCATGGGCACAATCCTCTTCAGATGACAAGAAGCTTTTCTCTCTTAACATGATTATGTAAAGATTTGACTCTTCTCTAACACAACTGTGTTTGTAGATAATAGACCCAAGGGACTAATCTATCTCTTGTTTTATGTGTGTGTATATTCTCTCCTAATTTGACTTTTTTTAGAAACGTATTAATTGTTTTGGATCTGATATACAACCACATATAAACCAGTAGGTCCTAAGCCTATAGACCAGGGCTACACAACTTTGAAAGCCCCAGGGGCCACATTAATACTCGCAGCACATGCTGAGAGTCGCAACTTAAGTGTGGTTGCACGTACATGCAAATTTATATGCAAATAGCTTCTTTCACACTGGCGGACGTGAATACAAAGCACTTCTCACAATGCCCTGGTGCTCCCAGCACCTCCTCCCTGGGAGCTAGAAATGCCAAAACCCTGTTCTAGCCAGTCCATCCGCTTGCGTCTTTCAGTGTTCACCCCACCTGGGAAACACCTCACTGTTGTGGAGCGTGTTCCCAGTGGAAGCCATGTTCAAAGGATCCCACCTGAGGGTTGTGTGTTGAACCCTGTGTAAACCCAGACCGCACTGTGGGCTACAAATGGCCTATGGGCCGCATGTTGAGTAACCCTGCTATAGCTATTACAAGGCTCTAACCACACAAGGGTATCTAGAGTGGTTTGGTGTCATGAGTGATATAATGTCTCCAGATGCACGTGTCTAATCCAGTTTCCCCATAGTTATTTTATTTTAAGATTATCATAAGAGCTTAAGAAACATTTTTTATTAATCAGATACAAATTGTGCCTGTTGTTTCTGTAAGGCAGGTTGTTAGAAAACATACTAAATGTAAGTGCTGAGCTCATTTTTGTTTGGCGCAGTGGGAATTCTGTAGGATTTTCCTTAGAGTTCATTCTGTCAGTCTTGTAACCCTTCCTTCAGATGAAGATGATTTCATATGGATTCCTCAAAAACATCAGCATTACTACAGACCTTCTCTTCTTCTAAGCATTCAGCTACTTCCCGTGCAGCTTTTCTAGCATGTGTTTAATTAATGAACAAAGTATGAGCAGGGCCTCTGAATACATTCCCCTTCCAATTGTCAGCTCACTGTCACTAGACCTCTTAATCTGCCAACTTATATTTGTGTATTGAAGACAGCAGAAGTAATTGCCAATTTTAACTTGGCTGCAGATAAAATCCTGTTAAATGTAGATTTTTCTTACACGACAAAGTTAGTCTTTGTGGTTATGATCTCAGATTACATTAGAACTGTGAAAAAAGTTGTCCCTGTTAGTTGGTACTGGGATGGAGATATATATATATATATATATAGTGGTGGTTTTTGTTTTGTTTTTGCATTTTTCCTTCCTTCATGTGGTTTGCACTTACAAGAAAACAAACAGATCTTCATAGGAAACTAGCTAATATATGTGTATACACAGAGCCAGTATAAGGATCTTTGAAGGGATGACTTTAATGAGTCTTGCTGCTACTGCCTTTACAAGCTGGGTGGAATCCAGTCTTCCACCCCATCCTTACCTCAAGAGGTGCCTGCTTGGCAGAATTCCTCTCCCAACAGCAGCAGTAATGACAGCATGTGAGGCACAATAAAGAGGCAAGGACTGTTCAGCATTGAGCCAGCCTCCAAAGAACAGGTCTCAGATCCCAGGAACTTCCTCCAGTGTCAGCTGGGCCTTTCTGGGCAGGACACTCAAAAGGTACCTGTTCCCCTTGAAGAGCGGAGGTGCAGAGGTTTGACTTCCAACATCCAGTGCTGTAAAACACACATAGTATAGAACTGTCGGGCTGGAAAGGACCTCGAAGATCATCTAGCTTTGTTTCCTGCACTGAGAAAGGATTAAAGATACCCACCCCATTCTTGACAGCTTGTTTGTCTTACATTTTCTTAAAAATCTCCCAATGGTGGGGATTCCACAGCCTCTCTAGGTAACTTGTACCCATACTTACCTATCTTTATAGTTAGAATATTTTTACTGATATCTAACCTAAATCTTCCTTGCTCCAGATTAAGGCCACTATTTCTTGTCATACCTTCAGTGATCATGGAGAACACTTGACCATCTCTTAGCAGCCCTTAGTACATTTGAAGACTCTTATTAGGTCCCATTTCCCACCAATCTTCTCTCAAATAACCTAAGCCAAGTTCTTTATCTTTCCTCATAAAACAGGTTTTCTAAACGTTATGTAAGATTTTGTTGCGATCCTCTGGAGACTCTCCAAATTGTCCATATCTTTCTAAAAGCATGGTTCCAAAAACTGGTTCCAGCTGAGGCCTCACTAGAGCCAAATAGAGTGAAATATGTAATTTACCTCTCATGACTTACATAACACATGCCTATAAATTATAGCCTAGAACGATGTTGCCTGTTTTGCAATAGCATTGAACTGCTGACTCATATTCATCTTGTTGTGAGTCACTATGCTCTCCCACAACGGATCCTTTGTTGGTGTCTAGCCAGTTTATTTCCCATTTTGTATTTGTGCATTTGATTTTTTTTCCTTACTAGGTGTAGTACTTTGCACTTGTCTTTATTGAATTTCATCTTTTTGATATCATACCATCTCCAATTCATAAAAATCATTTTGAATTCTTACCCTGTCCTACAAAATGTTTGTAATCCCACCCAGTTTAATGTCATCTGCAGAGTTCTCTATCTTCCTGGTTTCATCATTATTGCAAGAAGTCTGGACTGTTTTCTCTTTCTTCTAAGTATTGTCAGCACTGCTACAATTATCTTCCCTTTTTCCCCCTTACTCCTATCTGTACTACTATCTGTTGCTGCTTATTTGCATTGCAGTACTGCCTAGCTCCAGTAAGGTAGGGGAGGGTGGGTGGGAGTGTATATGCTCCCTCTCAAAGAACTTGCATTTTAAGCGTAATTTTATGTTTTTAGTTAACTCCCTGTTATTTTAGCTGTGCCTTGCCCTTGTGCATCCATCACTTCCTCTTTCTGGTTCCAACTACTCCACTCTTCTCATCCCCTTGTGCTGATTTACTCAGCCACTTTCATTGTGATCTTATGTTTATTTTTGTCTTCCTTCCCCAACTCACTTTCCTGTTTGTATCATGCTTCCTGCTATGTCTAAATGTAGAGTTTAAGCTTTATAGAGAAGACCCCCATCGTATTTGTTCTATATATGCTTGTACAAGGGAACATTTAATAAATAGGTATTCATGTAACATGGTGGCAGTTTTAAGCACTCCACATATGAATATAAAGTTATTTTTGCAGACGATTATGTCACTTGAGTCCCACTAATACTATTCTGTGAGTGTTAAAATCATCCTAATGTTTCTCTAAGGCAAGAGAGATAGAAGAGCTCTTTGAGGCAAAAAACCCTACAAACAGCCAAACACATGAGAGCTTTGGTTAAGGTTCATGTTGTACACATCAGCATACCCTTTCACACACTTTGGGAGTTAAGTGTCGATCATATCCAGTGTGTGTGTGCATGGTTTAGAACAGATGGAAGTGCCGCAGACTTAACTGTCCGCTTCATGCTATCCTTGAAACATTAAATACAGCTTCTTTAAATGTCTCTTTGTATATCAGCAAGGCAAAGTAGGTCAAGCTTCCACCTTCTTGGAAGAGAAGATAACAAGTGTTTGATGTTACTTGCTCATTTTAGGAGGTGTGCTGCCATGCAGCTGTTTAAATCTCAATAGTAGGTGGGAGCAACTGTTCATAGTGGCTGGTTTTAAGAATCTTACATAGTAAGGTATGGCTATAGTTGATGGAATGCTTGCAGGGGATGACAATTTCAGGATTTAGGTGTCAGTGACATGCTTGCTAATTAGCATTCCATTATCTTCCATTGCTGTTTAGATGGGAAATGTGACTCTTCAGAAATTGAATAGGATTTAGGCTGGTGGAGAGCAGTGAGGCCGGATAACTATCTGCTTCCTCATGGCTGCAGTTTTGACAGTGTTAGCATTGCCTTCACCTTATTTCATCTGATGGGACAGGGAATTCAGTGGGAGCTGACAAGTTGGACCCACTCATTGGTCTCTGTTTCTTAGCTTAATTGAGTTAAAGAAGTCATTGAGTTAAAGAAGTTATTGTATCTTAGAAAGGAGTATACTTGCGACTCAGTCAGTTAGAGCCTATCTTGCCTTGATGCTGCTTGAGTCACAGTAGCTTGATGATTCAGTACTTTTGATTTCTTTTCGTAGATAGATATGCTGGAACAACATAGGCAACTTTGGTTCTGGACAGCCAACACTCCGGTCATCTGAAGAAGTGGGCTTTGCCCAGGAAAGCTCATGATATCATCCAAATGTTTTGTTAGTCTTTAACGTGCTACCAGACTATTTGTTGTTTTTTTAAGATTTTCCTATTACAAACTAACTCGGCTACCCCTCTGAAGCTTTTGGATAGGCAATTGAGTTAGCTTAGTTGCTTTGTTCATATAAGTCCTTCAGGCTGATCTTTCTCCCTGTTTATAAAAGCCTTTTTGAATCTGCCTGCAGTATACCAAGAATAGTTCGTATTTATTTACTTCTGGTCATGAAGAATCATAGGGCTGGAAGATATCTCAGGAGGTCATCGACTTCAACCCCCTGCCCAAAGCCGGGCCAACCCCAACTAAATCATCCCAGCCAGGGCTTTGTCAAACTGAGACTTAAAAACCTCTAGGGATGGAGATTCCATCATCTCCCTAGGTAACCCATCCCAGTGCTTCCCCACCCTCCTAGTGAAATAGTTTTTCCTAATATCCAGCCTAGACCTCCCCTACTGCAACTTGAGACCATTGCTCCTTGTTCTGCCATCTGTCGCTACTGAGAACAGCCTCTCTCCATCCTCTTTGGAACCCCCTTCAGGTAGTTAAAGGCTGCTATCAAATCCCCCCTCACTCTTCTCTTCTGTACACTAAACAAGCCCAAATCCCTAAGCCTCTCCTTGTAAGTCATGTGCTCCAGCTCTCTTAATAATTTTTGCTGTCCTTCGCTGTACCCTCTTCAATGCGTCCACATCCTTTCTGTAATGGGGGGAGGGGTCCAGAATTGTATGCAATACTCCAGATATGGCCTCACCAATGCCGAATACTGGGGAATAATCACTTCTCTTGATCTGCTGGCAGTGCATCCTGATGCACCCTAATATGTTGTTAATCTCCTTGACTACAAGGGCAAACTGATGACTCATATGCAGCTTCTCATCCACTGTAACCCCCAGGTCTCTTTCTGCCTAACTGTTGCTTAGCCAGTTGGTCCCCAGCCTGTAGTAGTGCTTAGGATTCTTCCATCCCAAGTTCAGGACTCTACACTTGTCCTTGTTGAACCTCATCAGATTTCTTTTGGCCCAATCCTCCAATTTCTGTAGGTCACTCTGAACCCTGTCCCTACCCTCCAACTTATCTACCTCTCCCCTTAGCTTAGTGTCATCAGCGAACTTGCTGAGGGTGCAATCCATCCCCTCATTAATAAAGACGATGAACAAAATTGACCTTAGAACTGATCCTTGGGGAACTCTGCTTGATACCGACCATCAACCAGTGATCAAGCCGTTGATCATTACCTGTTGAGCCCGATGATCTAGCCAGCTCTTTATCCACCTTACAGTCCATTTACCCAATCCATACTTCCTTAACTTGCTAGCAAGAATACTGTGGGAGACTGTATCAAAAGCTTGTCACAGAAGGCATGACTTGTCCTTGATTATTCCTGATCACTTTGCTGTACTGGAGAAGCATTGCTAACTATCATCAGGTCCACACATCAAGTATGTTGCTTGCTTGATTTCTAATGGCTTCCCTAGTTGCCATGGTCAGCTTTTGTCAGAAAGGAAGTTCCAGTGGGTTTAATTCCATTTTCCTGTAAGGGTGCCTGACCTGGTGAGCTTTACATTAATCTGTAGATACTCTTACATTCTTAGTGATACTGCCTCCATAGCACTCCATTCTTAAAACATGACTTGCAGACTTAGGAACCATTATATGTAGCAAGAAGCTACATATATCAGTGCATTCTCCTTATCATGTAAACATATCAGCCATATCAGACCCCTCTTTTCCTGTTTCGTTGTATTCTCAGCTCCCACCGCTGGTCAGATCATGGGGGAGGGGAGGCTTGAGGCTGAGGCAGTCCTGGAAGTGGGGGGGAGAGGGAGGACGCCCTTTTCCAGCTCCTTTCATCTGTCTGGTGTTTGCCTCTTTTCTGTATAGTTTTATGAGAAGCAATCCCATACCAAGCACATTCCATTTTCCTGGCGCAACCAAACCCTTACCTTGCTTTAAGGTATGATGAGAGCAAGCTGCATATCAAATATTGTGGTCCTAGCTCTTACCATTTAGGAAGAACAGATGGGCAGACAAACTTACTCTCTCAAACATATAGTAGATATCTAGTGTATAACCCAAATTTTACCATGAATACCATATTTTACCATACATGTTATTTTCTAACCCAAAGTGAGTACTTTCGTGTTCTGGCATCATTTACTTAATTAGCTGACAATATATTATACTGTATATGGACTGAATTTAATAACTGAACTGAACTGGAATAAGCTGTGACCTGTCTGCCAAGCTTTTTATTTTGCTATTCTAGACGTGCCCTACACTTGATTTTAACTTTCCTGAGGATGGGTGTATGAGGATGTAGGAATGCTTCTAAAATTGTGGGTTGCTGCTATCATAATGACAATACAAAATACATAGTAATGCATAAAACAACTCATTCAGTTGTAAAAAAAAAAAAAAGTGGGAGTATAAGTGGAGAAATTGCTTCATGACCAAGATTTTGATCACTGTTATCTTAATATAACCTATTAATGATTCACTCTGAGGATGAAGAAGTATTCCTTATATCTTGTGGGCTATGAAGTAGATTTAGACAACTTCTTCTTCATTGCTCTAAACCCACACACATGCTAGTATTTCTAATTATTGGCTTGCAAAGATTAATAATTTGTCTAAACAAAAAAGTACGTCTACACCCAAAACAACATAATTGTAAAGTTCTAGGTCTTTTCAACTATACTGACTGAAATGTTATTTATTTTTATTGCAGTTGTCTACCTTGTGGTTTTTCATCTGTCGTTTGTTATGTTTGTATGGTCCTATTGGAAGACGATTTTTACATCTCCCGCTTCCCCCTCTGATGAGGTAAATTTAATTATAGAAAAATGCCCACACTTTTTATTATACCACTGAACTGTTTTCAGCAGTGACACTTGTTTTAAGTAGAGTGTAATTCACCTTCTCTGTTCTCATTAACTAAAAAATAGCATGCTGCTATCCTGTGAATGTAAATAATAAAATTACTTTTACAATTACTACATCTTAATGACATTTTTTCAGATTGAATGCTTGTTGCTAAGTGGTCACAAGTTTGACATTCAGATGTATACATTCGAGTAATAAGGTATGCCAAATATATAGAATATAACAATGTTTTGCTATGCAAAAATTTCAGTTTGGTATTTAGAATAAATAAAATACAAGTAGGCTTAGAAGGATTAGTTATGGGCAAATGTTGATCTCACCATACACACACAAACTGACTAAAATATTTCCATTGATTAATGAAAATTTACAGAGTGGGAAAAGAAGAAAAATGCTGCTTGAAAACTTGATTGTATGTACAACGTGTGTCACTGACAACTTGCATTTTAAGGTTTATAAAGTTTTAATTTTTTGAATCCCAATGCCTGTCCAAAGGGGTATACAAATCCCACACGAGGCCCAATAGGCTTATAAGGCTATACTGGGCCCAGGCAGTCCTGCCCCACCAGCCTGCTGAGAGTGTGCCATGTAGAGAGGTGTGGCTAAAAGAGGTTCAGAAGCCTGGGCAAGGGGTGAATAGAAAGGTGCAGGAAAGAAAATCCTTTTCTGGAAAGCCAGATAGAAAGAGGAGCCTTGAGAAGGGACAGCTGAGCAGGGTGAGGCCTCCAAGCAATGCCTTCTCCAACCACCACCCATTTGGAGAACAAGCAGATTTTGCAGGGCTCTGATCGTTTGAACTTTGTGAAGCTATAGACTGTTTGGACTAGAGAGGCAACACCCCAACATGAAGGAGCACTAGCCCAGGACAGCAGACTTGGGCTCTTTATGGGGAAGAACCTACTGGTGTAACTTCCCAAAGGCTCTGGGTTACAATCAGATAGGGAGGAAGGGGCTGGGTCCTCCTACCAAAGCTCAGTTACGAAAAAAGCCCCAGACACGGGGAGGATCCAAACATTCTTGACCTAAGGTCAGGAACTATGCACCAGAACTCCACTCCCCCAGGAAAGAGACAAGGGATTGGGTGTCAGATGCACTAACCATTAGACCACCCACCAATCACTCTATTGGTGTATTAGGTTACACCTGATATTGCCCCCAATCTCTTACAGCTGTGAACATTTAAATTGATAAAATAAGAAAAATGCTTAAAATGCATAATTTTGTGCAACTGAAATTTTAAATCCATAAAAACTGAAAAAAGCCATCAATATTATCTGTTGAAATTATTTAAAAATCAATTTTTTTATAACAAAATGTAAGATAAGACCCAATGACTCCATGTATTTTCACTATACACCCTTATTTGAACCCTCTCAATGACCTTCCTTTAGATAAGGATAAGTTACAATAAGTACCTGTAACTTTAAGAGGACTGCAGTGCTCAGTGATAAATCTGTTTAGGAGTTCAAGGCGTGGTAAGCACTGTTAAGTTAATATGGAAAGAAATCTTTACACTCTGATGTAAAATAGGGATGTAATCAGGTAATTGACTACTCGCATTTCTCCCCCTCCCTTCCTGCCTCTGTATCAGAGGCAGTGGGAGAGTAGGAGACAATGCTGCAAAGGAGTGGGCTTAAAAGTAGATTATCCTCAGCACCATATGTGTGATGCCACCTGCCCCACCTCACGCTGCTGCCTTTATCGGGCTACTTCTATACTACGGAATTTTCCGGGATACCAGAAATATCCCGGAAAAACTCCGCCATGTCCAGGGAATGCGTCTGCTCTTCTGACATTTTTTTTGACATTCCTTTTATGAGGAATAAGGGCTCATAGAATCATAGAATACTAGGACTGGAAGGGACCTCAAGAGGTCATTGAGTCCACTCCCTTGCCCTCATGGCAGGACCAAATACTGTCTAGACCACCCCTGATAGACATTTATCTAACCTACTCTTAAATATCTCCACAGATGGAGATTCCACAACCACCCTGGGCAATTTATTCCAGTGTTTGACTACCTTGACACTTAGGAACTTTTTCCTAACGTCCAACCTAAACGTCCCGAAAGAGGAGGTTTTGCTGACATTTGGCCCTATGTAGATGGGCCAAATGTTGGAAAAGCCTCTTCCAAAAAAAGAATCTGAAAAAGGTACTCAAATTGCAATTTGCGTATCTTTTTCCGAAACACCCCCCCTTCCCCCCCCTCCCAGAAATGTAGACAACCTCAGAAGCAGCAGTGCAGGGTGGCAGGGGAGGCCGCTCTGGCAGCAGCCCCCGTTGGGGGGGGGTCCCACCCCTGTTCGCGGGGGTTCCCATCGGGGAGCCTTGGGTTGGGCAGGGGCTGCTCTAGCCAGGCAGACAGTCCAACTCAGTCTCAGCTCGTGCTGGGTCCAGGACTTGCCCCTGGCTCCCATTACATTTAAACTGCAGAGCCGCAGCAGGGGTAGGTCTCGGACCAGATGAGAGCTGGGACTGAGCGCTTCTTCCCTTTATTGACTAATCGTGTAGTTGATTAAAAATTCTGTCAACTACACGATTAGTGAATTACCCACCTCTTAACATTCTTAATATAAAAAATGAAATTTTATTGACAGAGGTAATTGTAATGTAATCATCTTTTCAAGGAATCCATTAGGTGGATTACCCTGCAACCTGATGACTTTTATTTTTTTCTCCATAAGTTGATTGATCTATAGGCTTAATATCAAAACTACAATTAAAGTTGTCCCTCCATTTCCTCTCATTTTAAAAAGGCTAAAGAGAATTTTTTAATTATACTTTTGGCAGGGATGACTTAAAGCCATCATTTGGCCGGAAGCAAATTTGTACAGCTGAAAATGTACTTTGTAATGGTAAAGCAAACACCGTGGTTCTATAATATGTGTCTATTATGTGTCACAGAAATTTATTGTAGGGTAGGAAAGGAAGTTGAAGAGAGAAATCTGCTGATTAGCTGAGCAAAGGAAGAAGTATTGCATATTTTAAGTTGTAAATTCACTGTGGAGGCTGGCCTTCAAATCATATATTTGGTTTAATTGGAGTCTGTTCTGTGTGATAATGATAAAGCACTTGGCAGATCAGTTATCTCAACCAATCAGTTGTAAGATTTGTGGAGTCACATGAATTTAGTTTAAGCATCAGTGTATTTGCTAATTATTTTGGTGTTTGCCTGGATTCTTCTGTCTGCCAATATCTATTTATAACTAACTGTAATAGAAGCTGCAGCAAGGCTTCATCTTTCAGTATGTGATAGTTTGTATTTGCAGCAGACAATTAAAAAGAGAGTAAAATCAGGTCTGAATTGTAAGTAGTTGGGGAAATTTCTACAAATGAGTTTTTCCGAAAGCCATGTTCCTCCCTAGAGCACTCTTCTCCCGCACTCCCTGTAATTGCCATTTAGGCTCTAGGGAAATACTGTACAAGTATTGTCTTAAAGATGTTCCATTGTTTAAAAACAACTCCACTTATTTTTTCCAATTGTTTTAAAATATATATATTTTAAAATCATCTTAAGTACCCATTCTTGTAAAATGATTGCACCCTATGATTTTACTATTCTACTAAAAAAAAGATTTCACACCTGTTGTTTTGCCAGTGTAATCTGGACATATTTTATAATAATGTAAAACAATCAACATTATATGAGATCCCAGAAAGAGAGGAAGGAAACAAAGAGGCTCTTTGTTACTATATGCATTAAGAGCTGCTGAAACTTCCTTGTAATACTGTTAGCATTTTGTTGATCTATAACTTTCATCCCTTTGAACATTTGCAGCTGTTGTTCTAAGAGCGGTAAACTTGTGACCCTATTAATATTCTACAGACATAATGATGTAAACATAACTTTTTGGGAAAATTGAATGTTTGTTATACTGTTTGTTATGGTTACTGAACAACTTTAAAAAAAATTAAAACCATTTAGTTTAGGGTATTGTCTATGTATTAGTTGGATGACTTGTTTAACTGTAGAAACTTAAAAAACAGCAAATAGTCTAGCCTAGCAGCACCTTAAAGACTAACAAAACATGTAGATACGTGGTCCCCAACACGGTGCCCGCAGGCGCCATGGTGCCCGCAGGGGCATTTATGTGAACCCGTGCTGGCATTTTAAAACTACTCACATTCACCCCTGCTTAGAGCAGGGTCGGCAGCCTGGGGCCCACGAGGGAGCCCGATGCGGCGCTTCGGAGGCTTGAGCCCCGGCCCCACCACAGCAGTCAGCCCGCGCAGGTGCTTCAGTAGCCGGAGCAAACCCCATGCTGGTCAGATCCGGCTGCGAGGCAGCAACAGTCCCCCTTTCCCCCCCCATGCAAAACAGCTGTGGCGGGGTCCTTTGTGGTGCAGGAGCTGCGAGCCAGCAGGGAAGGGTCCCTCATGGCTGCTTCCGCCTCCCTCCCCCCCCACAAGCCCATTGGCCGGACCTGGACAATGGCAGCTGTGGGAACCCACCAATCACCGCTCCCCTCAGGCTTTTCCATTGCCCGGACCTGGACAGGGGCAGCTGTGGGAACCCACCAATCCCCAAGCACAGGGCCAGGCAGCTCCTGTGGGAGAAACAGGAGAGCAGCGCGTCTCGCTGGTAAGTGTCCGGCCCCCCAGCTACTCCCACTCCGATAGCTTCACCCACAGAACTCTCCTCCCAGACCCTGCACCCCAAACCCCTGCCCTGAGGGGCAATCCAAACCCCTGGCCTCCCCCCCCCCCAGTAAAATGTCTGGTATTTTCAGTTTCTCAGCTGGAAAGCCACTTGGGACATGCTTCCCCTACCATGTGGAAGGGAGTGTGAAATTTAAAGGTGCCATGCTTTTTTTTGGGGGGTGGGAGGAAGGGTGCTTTTTTTGCTCAACATTTGGACACCCCCCCCCTTTTTATTAATGCAGAATTTTTTTAAAAAATGAATTACAATATATTTAAAATAAAAATTATCCAATTAAATTAAGTTTCTATCAAATTTATCCAATTCACATTTAATATGAAAATAGCCTTCAATTTCACATTTGATGCCTTTTTTTGTTGACGCCCGCCACACTCTTCTGAAAACATGAATGTGCTATTGGCCACAAAAAGGTTGGGGACCACTGATGGGTATCATGAGCTTTTGTGGGCACAACCCACTTCTTCAAACGAATGGAGTTATTAAAGGTCCTGTTTCAAAATAAATAGGGGATGGGATGGGGGGAGGGGGGAGGGAAAGAAGGAAGGGGGAAAAGTATTCATGTTACAGGAAACTAATAAAGAAGGTGCAAATTGTTCTTAAATACCCATTGTTGGTTTGTTTTTTAAGTCATTAGGATGTGGAAGGTAGCCTGCTAGCCAGCTAGTGTCTTTTTTCATACCTTTGTGATGGGTACCAAGCCTGTAAATGAAGTTAAGTTCCAAGGCTTCCCTGTGTATATGGCTTGTGGAATTGGCCTGAAACAACATGAGATCCCTTAATGAGTGCCAGGGCAGGTTAACGTGTTCTCCAGCAGATTTCTGTGTGTTGCCTTTTCAGATACCTGATTTGTGTCCCCATTAATTCTTTCCCGTAACTCTGTCTGCTAAGTAATGTTTTAAGGCTAGTTTCACTCTTAGGGTGCATCTACACTACACTGTTATTTCGAGATAACTAGTGTTATTTCAAAATAACAATGCGCGAGTCTACACGGCCATTCTGTTATTTCGGATGGCTTATTCCAAAATCTGTAAACATCATTCTATGAGGAATAATGCCTATTCCGAAATAGCTATTTCAAAATAGGGTGTGTGTAGACGCTCCACTGCTGCTATTTCAAAATAGCCTCTCACCAGGGCCATTCTAAGTTATTCCTCCTGGGACTCTAAATTGAGATAGCACGTCTACATTAGGGAAGCCCGCCTCAGACTAATTTTGAGGCTTCCCTGCAGTGTAGACATACCCACAGTTAATTCTCCACTTTTCAGGGCTGTGGTTGAAGACACCAAGCAAACTCTTCCTAGCACCAGTCTTTGTTAGGCAATGCCTCTGGAAAGGCGCTAGCAAGTGTGGAGCAGTGCACTCCTTATAGTGCATGTAGACAGGAAGGGGCACCTTGAGTGATTCCTACTAGGAGTTCAGAGTTTAAAAGATTTAACACAGTTGAGAACCTAGAGCTCCCTAGGAAAGCAATAAGTTCTGTTCAAACCTTCTGCTAGAGAAGCTTATAACTGCCTTGGGCCTTGTGGATGTAGGAAAGTGGGGGAGCTAAAACTTATCATTTTAGTGAGTACTAAACCATGGGTGTCAGGTACATACAAGTTCTCCAGATTATTCTGGCAAAACTTCTAACCGGTGAGCCTTAAGTATGGTGGTTCTCATCCTTACAGAAGTTGGTAACTCTCTCCCAAGAACTATCTTTAAGTCTTCACTCCTATTAGTAGCTCTGTCAATATAGCTAATGGAGCTTAAGATCATCAGTGATGATCTCATTAAAGTTACCAGCCATATCCATTTAGCTGGTGAGCTGCAACTATGAAAAGTTACTTATTTTCCACTTCACAAAAGCTTTCCGTGCTCCCTTTGCAGGCCAGTCAGAGATAGGAAATGGCAGCCATAGAGCCTGTGGCAAAAACAATTATTGTAGAGCCCTGTGAACTCATGGGATTCTGAAACACCATTGGAACAGTGATTACATGAATGGTTTCAAGGGAAATTTGCACCTTCATAAAACTCCACAGAGTACAAGCCTTCATTTTGTAATCTTGTATAGTAAAGGGAAATGGAGTGGTGGGAACTGTGACAAAGCCAGTTCTTTTAAATTTAGCATTTTAAAGTTTAGTTGCAAAGGATTAATCATATAATTTCAGAATGTGTGGTGGACAGTTCTTGCTATATCGCCTATCATTGACTACTTTTTTTCCTGTGTTTGGTAAAATGATAGGCAGATATTGCTGTCTCGTTAGGGGGTAAAACATTCAAACAGTTCTCTCCTGACATAAACCTTGATTGGGCCAAGTGGTTAAAAACTATTCTTCTGTCCCCTCTTGCAGTTCTGCTTATCGAAATCTGATAAAGAACAATACGAAAAAGAAGAGAGACCAGAATCCCAGCAAGACATTTTGAGAAGAGCTGCTAAAGACTTGCCTATCTATACCACAACAGCATCAAGGGGTGAGGCGTGTAGATAAGTCTAGTTGTCCAAAAGCTGCTAGTCTAATTCATAAGATTTATTTTTATGTTGCTGTGAGAACAGTCTGCTAAATAAATAATGCAGAAGTCCATAACTTCTACAAGCTCCCAATAAATAGAACAGTTTTTTTCAAAATAAATTCTAGTGAAAACATTTATCTCACATTCTGCTTATAAGAATCTTAAATAGACTAAAGAACAGAGCTGGAAGGTTGAATTTTTAATCTGTATTTTATTTAATCCCAAATATTGCTTCCATGCCCTAAATATGAACATTTGGTTTGAATTTACTTCCACTACAATGTCAGAATTCAGAATATGGAAACTAAAATGCCAAACAATTCTTTTTCCACTGTCAGCTATAATTCTTAGGACAGAGCTGTTTAATCATCGTGTTTATGATTCTTCAGCTATTTCTGTCTTTGCGTCACTATTTTAAAGTAGCATTATTGCAGTATCCCTGAAAATATTGAGAGACTATTAAATGACTCCTCTGGTGTCTAAGGCAGCATAGCTAGATTTCTATAATTGTGTTACTACTCTAAAACTAATGGCATTGTAGATTACTGTCAAAATCTGTGATTATTTTTAAAGGAAACTACAAATGTCATAATATGCAGTGTTGTTTTAGCCATGTCTGTCCCAGGATATAAAAGAGAGAAAAGTGGTTGAGCTAATATCTTTTATTAAACCACCTTCTGTTGTGCCTCTTACCTATATAAGTTGGTCCAGTAAAAAATATGTTATCTCTCTTACCCCTTAATATTTAGCCATTAACAAATCTATGACAATCTTTAGTATGTTCATTTTGTATTTAAGTGATTCCCAAACTATGGTTCCTGTCCATTAGTGGTCTGTGTGGCACTTGCTGTTTGTCAGCACAGCTGCCTGGTCACATGGTGGTGGCTTTCCTCCTTCTTTCTAGCTGCCTTTACAGCTGAGCTATATTTTTATCAAGAAGAGTCTGGAGGCTTTGTTTTAAAGCATCTGCTGAGAAGGAGTAGAAGTCAACCTAACTGCATTGGCTAGATACCACTTCAGAAGAATAGGAGAGAAATATGAGCCACCCTCAAGGATGAGTCACTTGTGGGAGAGGAATATTCCCGAGAAAAGAAAAACTAAGACAGTATGCATATTGGGCTGTATGTCAAGAGGGTGCATGGGGAGAAGAGGACCAAGTATCTATGGGTCCCGCATGTCCAAAGAAGAAGGATGCCAAGTGGCAAGGAAGCATGCGCCTGAGAATTGGTGGGGGGGAGGGGAGAGAGACTAAGGAACAGAACAGATTAAATGAAGAGGAAGAGCTGAAAAAGCATTTATTACAATAGAAACAGATACACTAAATATATTCATGTTGTTACATTTTTCTGTAAGCTATTGTTGTTGCCACAGTAATCATATGTGATTCAGAATGGAGGTGGGAAGGGAGATGTCCTTGAGACAGTTTTTTGAACAGTAGGGAGCCTCTGTGTGTATGTAATTTAATTTTACAAAGATCTGTTTAACAGATTGACTTTTAAAATTTGAATATAGCAATCAGATATTGTGATAGATGCCAACTAATCAAGCCTGACCGCTGTCACCACTGTTCTGCGTGTGACCTGTAAGTAGCTGTGATGATCTATTGTTTAAATTCTCATCTTGTATACTTGGGCCTTATTTATACTGCTTGCCAGTTGAACTGCATAATAGTAGATCTACTATCTCACTTCCTCTCCCAGTCCACAGAGGCTGGGCTTCATGTAAGACCTGAAAATCTCTGTTCTGTTCTCCTGCATGTGGGGCTCTCTGTACCATGGAGAATGGGACAGGACTTGTCCTAAATGTACTTCTAGTTTTGTAAAATGTCTTCATTCTGAGGGCTCAGTTACTGGAGAGTGAAGTAGGTCTGGGCTGTGATACATATGCCAACAGAAACGTCTATGCGTGGAATTTAGTTTGCCTTCCTAGCTATCAGGCACATGCCTGCTGTGTTAGTAACAACTCAGTTTCAGGAGAGCTACCATTGCATTGTAGGTCTTCATAACTTCAGTGTTATTAGTGTTATCCTCCAGACATATTCTGCTTCACCTGCAAAATCTGTACCTATCGGTCACTTAAGACTGGAAAATAAATTGTAAATTAGACTTCAGTGACTGACCTTGGATAGATCCATTTAATTAAGAAATCTGATGAATGCATGCGTCTGTCTTAAATTACTACTCTCTGATCATGCTATATACTAAGGTTACATCTACAATACAGTAGAAAATCAATTTAAGGAACACATCTCCAGCTATATTGTTCATGTAGGTGTCCTCAATGTACCTTAAGTTATATTACCATGGAAACTACACTACAGGGAGTGGGGCGGCAGAAGAAACTCTCCTGTTGACTTGTCTTATTTTACCCCAGAAGAGAAGAATAACAGAGTTAACCAGAAAGCAATCTGTGGCTAATATAGCAGGTCTTCACTACACCCACTAAATTGACCACGTTTGTGCCCCACAGTTGTTCCCCATGCTAGTGTAGATATTGGGAGAAAATTGAAAATAGATCATTGCAAATACCCACATATTTTTCATCTTATTCCACTCCACCCCAAAGTTACTTTTCTATTTAGCATCTTGATTGGATTTATTAAATTTAGTGCCAGGTTACTATACTTCCCATACTATCCACAAGAGCAGTAAGGCATGCTGGTTATTAAAACAATTTTGAATATTGATTTTTTTTCTCCTCAAATGCTCATGCTGAATAAGTTGGGCATACTGTGAAAACAGCACCTAATGGTTTATGGAAACAGAGTGTCTTGTGCAGTTCAATAATATTACCTCTTTCTGATTAACAAGGTTTTTCTGGCCCTGCCCACTTTTCCTGGACAAGAATTCTAACTGCCGTTTTAAGTAATATGCCTGGAGGGATAGGGTTGAAAAGCAGAAGTAGTGGGAATTTGGTAATGATAAATACAGCTTTATGACATTGGAGACCAAATATTTGAATCAGTAAATTGACTTTAATTTTTATTTTAATTAATTGCCAATGGACTTTTTCTTTTACAGATGTGTACTAAAAATGGACCATCATTGTCCTTGGTATGTTTGCTTTTTAAAATGAATATAAATAATGTGGAAATAATTGATGGATTCTCTTACACCAAAGTAAATGTAATAAATCCATTTATTTTAGTAGAATTTCTTCAGATTTAGATATGTATAAATGAGAGCAGCATTTTTCCTAATGTCTCCTGCAAGTGCATTGCAAGTCAGCATTGTAGGTCTAAGAAATCTAACTACTTACCTACGTATAAATGCACATCAGAACTGACCAAGTTGAAAGAAATGAGAGATGCTGAGCTACTGCTTTGTGTTTATATCAATATTATGTGCATCAAGAGATAAGAATCTGTTTTACTAAATTATGACAATCAACTTCTCAAACGAATTCACTCCCAGATGCCAAGTTGATAAGCTCATGAACAGGTACTGCTATATTTTTTTTTCCCATGCAGGTTTCATTTTGGGGTGTAGAATTGCAACCTGGATGTGTAGTCCGTATTGAATATTATGTACTTTTTATTCCTCTTCCACCCTTGATGTGCCATCCTTGCAGATATTGCTAGTTGTGGCAGACATTAGTACAGGGGTTCCCAAACTTTTTGACACGGGGACCAGTAAATCCATTCACGAACTTTTGGAGGACCGGTAATGTTCATTTGCATATTCATTAATCAAACTATGACTATTAAAATAAGTTGTTTCTAGTCCTTCCAAAACCCCCAGTGCCAGCTTTAGCAAAGCTTTTGATATGGTCACCCACAATATTCTTGCCAGCAAGTTAAGGAATATGGATTGGATAAATGGACTGTAAGACAGACAGAAAGCTGGTTAGACCAGAGTTTCCCAAACTTTTACTTTAGTTGGAACCCTTTTTTTTTTCAGTTCTGTTTTTTGCAGCCCAGAAATATAAACACACAAAAAACAAACTGAGAAAATACCAGACATATGACATGTCTGGTATTTTCTCATTACGTACGTTTTATTATTATTAGATGTATCAGTTTGTAGTTTCGAACTGCCTGGCTGGTAAATGTGCTCAGGCTGCATGAGTGTGTCTACTAGCCAGACAGTTTGCAACTACTTGATGAACTGCCTGGCTGGTAAATGTGCTCAGGCTGCATGTGTGTGTCTACAAGCCAGACAGTTCACAACTACTCGACGGGATGTGTGTGTGGGAGGACAATAGAATTCCCGGGCCGGACTAAATCATGCTTTGTGCTTTGCGGGGGAGAGGGGGGAACGGGGGCAGCGCCCCAAGATCTACATATGACCGGGTCAGTCCCACTCCCTGCAGGCCAATTCATTCCTCCCCTCACTGCGCCTCTGGCCAGCCCCACTTTCCACAACCCCCTCCCGGGCAACCAGTTCTCCCCCACTTCTCCTCCCAATCTCCCTTGGCCAGCCCTCCTTCCGGTGGCCGCTTCTCTTCCCCCCTCCCCTCAATCTTCCTCCGACAGCTCCCTGCTCCCAGCCTTGCATTCCCCGGCAGCCGTGCTTCCACTGGCCACCCAGTCTCCCCAGCCTGACCCGATTCCCCCGTCCAGTGCTGCTTCCAGGGGCCAGCTCTCCCCTCCTCCTCACCCCAGAATCCCCTGGCACCTGCACCTTCCCTTAGCCCTGCACCCTCCTGGTGCCTCCCCCTTCCCTTACTGCCCCGCCCCCTTTGCCCTCTTTTTCCCTAATACCCACCCCCTCACCACTCTCTGCCCCATTCCCCTCCGTGCCCTCTCACATGACTTGCTCCATCCTGGCCTTCCTCATGCCCACCCCTTCTTTCAAGCCTTCTCCCAGCACCTTCCCCTCCAGCCCCCAATGCCCTTCCCTTCTCCTCTCCCAGCATCACTGTGCCCTCACACATGCCTTGCTCCATCCCCACCTTTCTCATGCCCACCCCTTCTTTCAAGCCTTCTCCCAGCACCTCCTCCTCTAGCCCCCGATGCTCTTCCCCTCTCATCTCTCCACATCACCCTGTCCCCCTCCCACTGACAGCTCCCCTCCTGCTCTTTTTCTCATTGTCTGTACTTGGCCCCCTGGCATGTGTCTCACCTCCACCCTGACTCTTGGTGCCTTCCCCTTTCTTCTCCCCTCCCCCTCCACACCAGCCTCTTCCTCTCCCCCTGCCCTTCCCTCAGTACAAGCCCCTTACTCTCCCCCCCCATCCAAGCCCCTGCCACTGCCTCAGCTCCTGCTCCCCTACCTTCTGCAGGGCCGGTCTGCAAACTGTGTGCACCGCAGTGGCGTGGCACTTTTCAGTTTTAAAATCCTGGTCATGCCCCCCTTGATTTTCATGCACACCTGCAGCACATGGCAGGGACGATCTGGGGCCGAGGGGGATGCTCTAGGGGCGGGGTGGGAGGATGCGCGGGGGGACCAGCAGGGAGGGTCCAGGGCCCACTCCAGGCAGAGCCGGGGGAGAGACCCAGCTCCACATATTGGTGGAGCAGGGCCCCCGGCTCTGTAACTCGCCAGCACTTCCGGGTTCAGGGATGCGGGGCCTGATTCGACCAAATCGGTCTAAAGCCGGCCCTGCCAGCAGCCACCAGGCACACTGAGGCCCGATATTTTTTTTCCTGCGGCCTGGTACCGGGCCACAGCCCATAGTTTGGGAAACGTTACAGTAGTAGATGTTCTAGTGCCTACCATGACACCCATTGCAGTCAAAGGAAAGGCTCCCGGTGAAATAGGTTCCTGATGTCTGACAAGGCTTCATATATATTTGAAATCTTTCCAGAAATGGTGCTGGTCACAAGGCTGTTCTTTGTTCAGGAAAATTATTTCAGTGACAGGAATAATGAGAAGAGGTCAGATTACCTGACTGAAAGGAATAGTCTTTAAAATTGGGATTTTGAAGTGTTTACTCTCACTTTTTCATTGATAGAATGCTGTCCTTCAGTACTGAAAACATGCACATGCTGCACAAAAACAGTTTGATTAATCTTTATATCATCATGATCTCTCTCTCTTTTTTTTTTTCCCCTAGGGTGAATAACTGTGTGGGGTTTTCTAATTACAAATTCTTCCTCCTGTTTTTATTGTACTCCTTATTGTATTGTCTGTTTGTCGCCGCTACAGTCTTGCAGTACTTTATAAAGTTTTGGACAGTAAGTTTTGTTTTTTTGTTAAATTTGCATGTATTATTGAAATCTCGATCAGAGCATCATGTCATCCATTTCTGTCTGTTTCATGAATCTGTATAATTGACAACAGCGTATCTTGAGGTGACTAAAGCAAGAGAACCTTCAGCAATTAAATTAACTTAGTTGTATATTGAATAGAGCTGGACAGATACTAGGAGAGAATAAAGAAGGTGGAAATTCATTACAATAATGTGCATCTTCTCCAAGGCACAAAATTGAGCAGTTCAGCTCAATATTTTTTTTTAGATGTATGTATTGAACACCTGCAGAGGGCGGCTTATAATTAAACCATGGAGTAAATAATGGAAAATACTGTAAGATTTGAATAACAAATTCAAAAAATAGAAATCTACTTATGGCTACTCTGCTAACAGAAGAGGCAGCTAAATTAGTTGTGAATTTGTTCTGCTGTAATACCGAGCACTTATGGTAAATTTTAGTTTGAGGTCAGTAGTGTTCACTAATCAGTCATGGTCATTATAAGAAATTATGCAAAGTATGAACAGTGTTAATACTGTTTACTTTCAGTGTTCAAATGGACAATACACACTCTACTACATAAATCCATCTGAATAGAGCCTTATCTGTGGAAGCATCCTTCTACGTTATATTTTAAACAAATTCTCTTCTAGAGAGAAGTGTACATTCCAGTCTCAATAGAGTATTTTCTATTTCATTCCCTCTCCTAACATTAAAGCCTTGCATTGTGACTGCTGTTCTTCTGATATGGAGGACTAGATGTAGTTACCTTCAGAATTCTGTTAATGCTACCGAAAAATAATCGATTAGAAGAACTGTCATCAATCAGTGAAAGGCTCTTCACATCTTTTAAAACTTGCAACTTTTTAAAACTTGTGTCTGCTTCTTAGACACAAGTTACAATGTGTACAATTGTAGAAAACAGTAATTATCCTCAGAGCTGTAAGGATGACAATTTTTGGAGGTGAAAGATTTAACTATCTCTTTGTATAAGAAAGACTGCACAATACATTTGGAGTTTCTACACTTAAAACAATTGTTCTTTTGATGTCTAAGAGAAAAAAATGGTATTAATGATGTTAGTCCTCCTCCTATACCTTTCAGTAGTTTCTATGAAATGTTACCTTACAATATATTTATTGTACATTGTGTCCCATCAGTGTATTGCCAAATATCTGTGGGAAATGAATGTCAATGCCTTGCAGGATCAGGCTCTAAGTTTGTATTCAACAGACATATTACTAATTTCCTCATTAGAACAATGCTTTGGTTAATTTCTCAAAATTAAATGGCCTAACTCTCTGATGTTCAGTCTTATTGAATATACACAACTTAATCACATTCACAAACAAATTCAAGATTCAGTGTAAATGTGGCCCTCTGTATTTTACGGATCAGTGGGGGAATGGATGTGCAGGAAAAAGAACTGATTTGCTTTGTCATCTCACTTCACAAGTCTATTACAGTGGAAAACCTGTGTTTGAACATTTGGCTACAATGGATATTATTTAATACCACCCATTTATCAAAAAATCTCTTCCAAAGCCCATCAGACACTATAGTGGAGCGGACTTCTATGAGTGGAGAGAGGGAAGTTAAGAATTTCTTATGAAATCATTAGACTTCAGTACTCCCTGCAGGAGTGTGTCACTTCTGACAATTGACTGAAAAAAGTGGTCTTATTTTACTCAGCAGTACTGCTTCATTTGCATATTCAAATATATCTGCATGCTTTAGTGCTTAAAACAGGTATGTGATACTTTTTATGTCTGGTAGCACTGCAGAACCAACAGAAAGATTGAGCAGGATACAGTTTTTGAACAATAAAACTGTTTTGATTATGAGATGGGTCTAATTTTGCATGTAAAACTTTGATATGCAACAAGGAAAGAACCTATTTTGACAAATTTCAAAATGAGGTAGCTGGATTTGCAGTAAGAAAAACATCTTTTAATTGTAATCTTGCACACACTTATATAAGTCATTGAAAGTCAATGCCTTTCTTACTACCACTTTTCAGAGTAAAACTGTATTTTATATCTACTAGGAGGCTGCAACCCTGCTCGCTATGTTCACCAACCCCCACTCTTGCTGATGGCTTTTGTGGCCAGAGAGCCTGTTACTCTTGCACTGAGCCTGGCTGCACTCTCCATGGCCCCAAGTTATTCACACTCTTCTCCACTTCTGCCTTACCACATCCCTGAACGGGTCCCTCTATCCAAATGGTCTCTGACCATCCCACCCACTCGTACCCTTCAATTGCCAGCAAGTTCCTCCCACTTACCCTTCCTGCTCCTGCCCCACCCCCCAATAAAATAGTTTGTTCAGGTGCAGAGTTTGGAGCCTCTTCTGGCAGCTAGCATGGGGCTAAGGAGAAGTGACCTGCCAGGAAGGGCTATGTTCTGCAGGCTTGTGAGCCTCACATATAACTGAAAACCAAACACAATCAGTAAAATGGGGCCCTACTCCAAATGAATCCCCTTCATTCTGGGTGCTCCTAGGCACCTGGCTCACTAGTGAGAGGTAGGGGTTGGGTTACATGCAAGCAGCCAGGTAGGGAGAGAATTCCTCGCTCTCTGTGCCTGGTTACTGCCTGTCTTTGCAGGGAGGCAGCGCTCCAGATGTGCCCTTCCAGCTGGCCAAGTGAGCAAGCTCCTCACACCTCTTCTTCCACCTACATCCTTCCCTAACCCTCTTCCTCACTACCCCACACTGCCTATCCCTATCCCCACCTCTTTCCTCTATTCCTATGCCCCATCCTTCCTTAACTACTCCTCCACACCCCCACAATGCCCATCCCCCTGCCTCTGATCCCTGCTATCCCCCCTTACCGCACCTCTCATCCCCACATACATCCTATTTCCCCTTCCTCCCTCCCTACACACACCCTGCCCCCTCCCACAAATTTGTTGAGCTGCATGCTTAGGCTCACCCAGCCTTTCCAAACGGGCCTGTTAGGGTTTATGTAACGGCATGTGAATGGCCTTTGGGGCAGCTTTGCTCCGTGGTGAGCTTGAAGCACAGAGTGACCGCTTTGGAGAGCTGAGAAAGCAGCCTGGGTGCAGCATAACTGCACTGTCCCCAAAGGGCCAGGTGTGTAGTGTGGCCAAGACCTGCCCAGCTGCTGGGAGAGCCCGCCTGAGTCAGAGGCCTGGTTCTGATGCTCCAGTGGGTCTTGCTCTCCTGCAAGATCCACTCCCTGCCAGGCCAGGGTGCAGCACTGTGAGCAGGGCCCTGCTGGGAGTGGAGGGGGGAAGCGGGGGAGCCAGGCCTCCAGCAAAAAGGAGGCAGTGCTTTGTGGACGGGGGAGAAAAAGGCAGCCCCAGAGGGTGAGGCTTTCCCAAGAGGCCCTGAGGTTCAGCGGCGGTGAACCCCCAATGAACTGTGCCAAAGGGCTGTTTGCCAGAGCCTGAGTGTCTCAGGGAGTGGGAGGGAGCAGTCAGTGAAGTGGCCCTGCCCAGTCCCTGGGTGTCACTGGGAGGGAGGCTCCTTGCCGTCTGTAGACCCTCAGCCCCTCACCACAGGGTGGGCCCCATGCAGGTCGAGTCCGTGGTCTTGCTCTTCTGCAAGATCCACTCCTGCTTGGGGAACCTCTCCACCTTCTTGGATGGGAGGGAACAAGGCAGTGATGCCACCACAGGACGCACTTGAGAGGCAGCACTGCAGCCCCCGCCCCCACCCC